CTAAATTTTAACAGTCAAATTTTTACAAAATCATTGTTGGTGTCTCTAATCTTTACAATAATTCAGTATGTAACTCTTCGATTGACTTTGTTTGCGGTATTATGAATTATGAAATCAAATAAGTCTACATTTTCATGTTGCGAATACATTTTATATTACAGTCTTATATAGATATGACTGTATAGACTCTACGTTATGTATACCCAGCAAATGAGAATGGATTGAAATAAATTGAAATGGATTCAGATTTTTAGAAATATTAATTTACGAATGTTAAAATAAATGCTTTTCAATTCTGAATGCATTTTTATTCGTTTATAGGAATTGCATGGAGCATATCTCTATGCCTTTCAATCTAAAAATAAATATTAGCTTTTTCTATGCATTGTGAATACTGTTCATTCAAAATTTTGAATAGGAAATGCAGTTTTTCAATCCAATTGCATCCAATTGAATCTAATTGAATCCAACTGAATCCAATTAAATCCAAAAAAAAGTACTCGCTATTTAAAATGTTTTTGGATAGAAAAAAATTTCAATCTATATTAATTCACACATTCTCGTTTGTTGGGCAGATAGCACGTAGTATATTTTGATGTACTATGTTTAAAATAAAATTTCTCGATAACGTTATTCATATCGGTTTTCGTTTGTTACTGTCATGGTTCGCTGATAAGTTTATCATAAGAATTAACGTATTAATAAGAGCTTTCAAGTTATGAGTGCAAATCAACAGCAATGTCGTTGTGTTTATGAAAAACTGAATTGAAAAATCCTCTCTATCATTTTATAACGATCGCAACAGTTGACATGATATTACTTATCATACTATATCAGAGAGAAACTCTGCTTATATAATTTCTAAAAATTATTGAAACGGATAAAATCAATATATGAGACAACATTGATTAAGATAATATTTTTCAAAAGTTTTTTTGAAAAATATCTCGAAAAGATTTCTTAAAAAACTCTTAAGATATTCTAAAGTTGTCTTATGCGTTGATTTCAAATATTCTACTTATTGGTAACTAAAAAAATATAATTGCGTAAATTGTAAAATAATTATAGTAGAGGACTTTTCAATTTAGTTATTCATACTTTCATAGACAGTGCGTATATGCCGGCTTTTACGGCTAGTCTGGATCACCCTGTATATATTCAGTCATATTAATTTTATTAATTATTTTATATTATGCTTTTCCTGTGTGGTATGTGTGTAGCAATTCCACCTGATTCCATCATGGGCACCGCGATTTTATCGCTAGTACGTGGCTATGTAGTTTCCGATTGAAAAATGGACATTGGCGCTAGTATACGAACGATTTGATGGTTCTTGTCTCACAAGAAATGTCGGGGTCGCCCAGAATCCAAAATATTCTAAAATTCGATTAAGAGTTCCGTTTCAAAGTTCCAGTATAGTTATCAGTTCAGTGAGTAAATTGTTGATTTCTGTAAATCAACTAAGCTAAAACTAGTCCCTAATTTACTGAAACTAATGGTAAATAAAAGTATTGCTTCTTAAATAATTAATTCTATGTCGTTTTTATAGTGATATCACTAATCACATGCGCTTGTGTCGAGTTTAACCTCAAATTGAAGAGCGATCTCTTCTGAAGGCAGGTAAAATTCGTAAAGAAACGACTTGAATTTCACAAATCTCAATCACGAAAAGATGAAGAGTGCGATGACAGTATTCAGAAGTATACGGACCAGTAAGTTCGCAGTGGCGTTTCGCACATGCTATAGGAAATACTGTACCACAGAGAATGATACAACGACGACGACAACACAGAAGATCCATCCGTATAGACGAATTCATCCGTGGAAATCGGAAGATGAATTTATGAAGGATATGCTGAAGAACGTTATTTACAATTCAGGTGGAGAAATTATTGTACTAGGATTAATGTAACAGTATTTTCCAGCAAGATTAATATAGCTATTTTCATTATTACAAGACTGATGAATTTTGTAGATCTGTTTCTCATTCCTGTATTAACTGCACTAGAACTTTTACTTTCGCCAAATATTAAATGTATACCTATCTCACTTTAAGTTCCTACTAAAAGTTTGTACTAGTTCAGGTAATAAGAAACAGATTCTATTATTGCTCCATTTTATGAAAGTTAATAATCCTTGCTTTTTGATGTAATTTCAGCATTATTGTGACCATAAACAATGTTTATTTGCAATAATCGTTAATGTTATAATTAAAAATGTTATTTTAGTTATATTTTACTTGCATATATTATTTTAACATGATTTTCTTTTATTATTTTGTAAAAGTTAGTAATCTTCTTTTTAATATAATTTTACAGCATTATTGTGATTATTAAACGATGTTTATTTTTAATGGTCATTAACCTTCTGGAGTTGACGTCGAAATCTGTAATATTAGTTATTGCCACTGGATTACTATGAGATATTTAATTTATGTTGAAAGGTACTAATTAATTTCGGAGAACCAAAATGTATGACTTATTTAAAAAAGAATGAATGAGTATATTTTAATACAAATAATCCAAATTTGCAGGTGTAACATAAAGAAGATATTTGTCATTTTTCTGTAAAATTATAATTGACATATTAATAAATACAAGAGTTAAGAATTAATGAAATTAAAATATATTTTTTATCTTAACATTACTTTACAGAGAAAGTTGAATTGTTTTTATTCATCAAAATTTTTGTTGTCCAAACAATAACAACTACCTAGGATGTTGACATATTCAAGACACAAAAATTTGAAACTTAAACTTTCTGAACAGTATTTTCCTGTCTTTGCTTATGCATCTTTAGATAATTCAAAATCTGGTATCTTAAATAAAACGTTAATTCTTTTCAAATCTTGGAAGCAGATCAAACATTTCTTGAAAAAAATTATTGTTATAATTAGTCTATTCAAAATATTACTTTGATTTACACAAAATAATTCTTACTTTTCTGAATGAAAAATATAAACGGACTGAAAATCATACTGAAACTTTTCAAATAAAAAAATAGTGGCTTCACAATATCTGATAATTTGCTAAACTTGAAGGAAATATAGTGAAAATATAGAAGAAAAGATACTAGGGAGAGATATTTTGCAGGTCTTAGGGTATGTTTGGATTCCCATCTGGGAACATTCCATCAGAACATGTCTTTAAATAACAATCTAGCAGTAACAAAGAGACTTATAATTAAATCAATTCAAAACACACTGTTAGTTCCGGAGGAATTATATTAATATTGAAATTCAAGAAACCACAGTCAATCTATTTGTTTTATTTTAAATATGATGGTTTTCTTTTGTCATCAGAGTTGGTTTTTCTGTATTGCAAATAGTTTCATTATTTATAATAAGCAATTTTGGGTTATATTAAAAGGGATATTATTATAAAAAGAATATTAAAAGAGATATTATATCGTTGTAAATATATATAATATTAATTAGAAAAATAAAATATATCTATATATTTTTGTTTTACTTGGCTGATAAAAGTGATACATTTGAATATTAATTTACGAATACTTTTTAGATGGAATAATTGCAATAAACAAACCATATGGCATACCCTTATATTCAAAAAAAAATATTAAACCTGCATTGCATTTAAATCACAAGATTGTAGGAGCAGCAGATTATTCTTTAAACGATGCTTTGCCATATCTTGCAGAGAAGTTAGATGTACCGATGTTAATGCCATTTTATATAGCAGAGAAGTATATCATCCTCAATCTCTCCCTTCTTTCTTTTTCTCTAAAAAAAAAAACCATTTTATTAATTTACTTCTAATTTTACTTTATTTGTAGATATATGAGCGGCGTATGTCTTTTCGGAATTAATAAAAATGTGTGTCGCCAATTAGAACTGGCAAGAAGACGAACTCAAGGTAAATACAGTAAATATTGGCTAGTCACAACTAGAGTTCCAAACGAGATCAAAGGAAAACATCGTTTTGGAATGATTTTAGAAACGTCTGCGGCAGGAAGTAAAAAGGTATTCCTCCATATATATATTTTTTTTTTGTTCAAGAAATAATTAATATTCACTGAGATAATCATGTGCATTTCAGCCTATTATCGTGACTCAGTGGAAAAACAATGCGGTAAAGAGGAATGAAGTCAAGATAATAAATGTAGATTATAAAGTCATAAGCAATTCGACGCATAATTTAAGTTCGCTAATAGAAATTGTGTCGTCCTCAAGAAAATGGCATATTATCAGGTTATTTGCTTCTACTATGCTATACAGTCCGCTTCTTGGAGATAATATTCATGGGTCACGAGTCCAAGAAATCATGGGAATATGGTTAAAAATCGATCCATTTGCTGATTCCAATTATAATTTACCAAAAATAAATCAACAACTATTAGAGCTACTATATATAAAACCAAGTCAACAAGAAATTATTCCAGTACACATACATTTGAAAAGTGTACACTTAATTGTCAACAAAGACAAAAAACAGAGTCTAGTAATAGAAGCCCCTTTGATGGATCCGTTCGATTGGACTTGCAAGCAGCTTAAGTTTAAAATACCTGATGAAATCAGGAATTCCAGTGATGAAGATAATGAAGAAGAGTTAGTTTACATGAATACACATGATGGCAATTAACTCATTACTATCTCTTGCTAAGTATTTTGATTGTAATAAAAAGGATTTTAATTAAATTGAAAACATTTATTTCTTTGCGTACATTTTCATACATTTAATCAATCAGATGGATAACGTAATGATTAATGAGATAGCACATGTTTGCCCTTTAAGATTCTTCTTTGGAGAATTTTTCTACCATTTGGTGTTGACAGCCTTGCAAACCAGCCATGCTTTTTTATTCGTTTCCTTTCACTAGGATGAGGAAAGTGATATCTCATTCTGTTTCTCACAAATGTTAAACCCCATGGACTCCACACGGATGTCGCAGTCGCGGTCGATGAAAGTTGATTTGAAGCCCGTCTGTAACATGTTAACAAAATATGATATTATATAATGTACTTATACCTTGTTATTTAATACTTCAATGTTGTATTTGTTTTATATTAATCTTTAGTACCCACGATGATTTTTCAGTTTTTTATTGCACATGATAGGATGTCCATATTCCGAACAATCTATCGTATGAATTTTTGTCACTTTTATAAATGTACAAAAATTATTAAATAATTCTTATCTATTTTAACATTTTTAGAAACTATAAAGTTGTGTATTTAAAAAAAGAAGAAAGAATAAACTATTATTTAGCTAGATTTTCCTAATATTTCAAAGAAAAGGAATACAGAAGAAAACCAATCCAATCATGTGCACTAAGGATTAATGCAAGTAAGTTTACCATGTTTATATAACTTATTATATTTTATATTATTTGACATTATAATTTAATTTGTTTCCTATCTACAAAAATATAATTGGCATGCAAAAAGTATATTGAAATACACTTGACAATGGATGTGTTTATAGGATTGATAGTATGATGACGCATCGATAAGAATTTCTACAAAAAGTATTAATTATAGAGACTAGAAAAAAAAGTTAACATTTACGGCAAGGATTGAAATATGCCCGAGATTAATTTGCCGAACATTCTTTTATATCAAACGTTCCAATACGATGTAGAATTTAAGATTAAGTCAGGTTAAGTTTTATGCGCAGCCGAGTCAACAATCACGCATGCGCGACATGACGCATTAACGTCTGACCGGCGAAAATCATCGAATGTTTCCGAAAACCACCGAAATTCGAAAACCGACAGGATGCTGTTGTGTGGCACACTCTGGTAGCGAAAATTGAAGTTTTATGATTTCACCGCTGCCACTGTTACCGCCAAATGACGGACTCATTGCGAAATTCAATCTGCATCGTAAAAAGTAAGTAAAATATATAATCTGAATCTATAATATAGCCGTTACATTTTCACTCAAAACTGCAACGCGCAATATTATCATTAGTGCAATTTCGGTAAAAATTATCATTAGCGCAATTTCGGTTCCAAATAAGGAACGGGAGAGGCCAGGCGGGGGACCATTTTTGTGCAAAGAAGAGCATCAAAGCACCTATCATGGAACAAAGTCGGAATGGATTCCAATCGGAATTATTCCGTTTTCCCCAGAAAACACAATAGAAATCTAATGAATGATTGAATAATTCCAATCGGAATGTATTCCAATTTTGTTCCATGATAGGTGCACAAGTCACGGTAATGTCAAAATAACGTTAAAATGAATCGTAAATATTTTGGAGTAATTAAAGTAAGTGTCATTTTGATATTATGATGACTTATTGTTCTGCTTGAGTAGATTTCTCGAATATTGACAATATCTGTCAAAATAAAATGAAAGAAACAAATAGTAGCAACAGGTAAAATATCAATGGTTGTCACTTCCTTAATCGGAAATATAATTGTCGAGATACACGTATAATTGTCAAGTAAAAAATTTTCCAATGAATTCCTTTTGAATATGACATCGAATTTGAATACGTTTCAAGCGTGTTAAAATATTTATACGCCTCAATGAGAGAGATCTCTGGATGCCTGTCAAAACTGGCTGGCTTCAATCGGTCTATTAGCGAGGACCCGTGTTCACTGATTGATCTATTCTAGGGTTCACAATACCTCATGGGCTGACTGAAGGACGCAGCAGTATTTGAAGTACCAGCCCTCGAGAATGCGACGGGACAACAATATATCTTCGGTTATTTGATACAACATAATACCGATCCTAAAAGGTACAACACACATTCGACAAATTTCTAAGCACACGTTTGAGCAAAGAATCATTGTCGCTGGGATAAATGGACTTACAAATTATTAGAAAGAAACTACAAATAATATATGAGCCTCGCTTTGAATCCGAATAGATTTTGATTTCCATCACACTTATCTTCACTTATCTTTACTTTTCCTCTCTAGCAGCAGAGCTTATGATTTATATCTTATTTGATTTTGTCTACTTTTTATTTGTTGAAGCTTTGGACGCGATTTTCTGAAAAGTTCACAAGATATCGACGATTTTTTAATATATATACTTCTAAATGAGTTTGTTGAATTTTATAATACTACTATTTGAGTATTTAAATCGCGAGAAAAATAGTAGTTTTACAATAAAAATTTTCTATATTGAAATATATCGACATATTATATCGTTAAAGTATACATGTTTTAATTACTTGATTAAATTTTTAAGGCAAAACGAATAAATATTCGCGACTGCGACTTTGTTTAGAATTTTAAAGTAATGTTTCTGGGTATATATGTGAAGATAATTTTTTCTAAATAATTTGTTTTTAACTATATGAAAATTTTAATCAAGATTGTAGTACTTAGCTGTCAAAACTACTGAATTAATTTATTATTAAGAGTATTTTTTGCGTAAAGTATTATACGAGTACATTCTAGAAATCAAACGAATCTTCAGTCATTGATACTTGAATTTATTAACAAGGTACAACAGTTTGTGTAAAGTTCTTTATTAATATCTTCGATATAACATTAATTTTAAGCGACAAACAAAAAACGCATCCATTCTTCCTTTAATTTTTTGTATTAATTTTTTGAAATACTTGGAGAAAAGTGCTTTACGTTTAATCTACGTATACGAAAAGAACGGTTTTGCTAGTATCTAATAATTAACTAGACACAGGTTTGAAAATAATTTTGTTGGATTATTAAAATAATTAGGGCACTAAAGCAATTAGGGCACAAAGCATGATAAGGCTGCAAACAGTTTTGACATTCCAGCAACTAGCTGGAGCGTCTTGCATAATTATTTTGATGACCTATAAAATTATTTTCAGATTTGTCTAGTTAAATTTTTAGATACTTTAACAAAATCGTTCTTTTCGTGTAAAAATACTGCAACAATGCTTCAATCATGTATTAAAACCACTCCCTCAATTTCTCTGTGTTACATCCTCTGACTTCTTCCCTAGAGAAATTTTTTCTTTCGTTAAATGCGCCCCATGGTGCCGGCCTACCCCATAGGAGGATTGATCTCGCCTCCATCTCGACGGTAATTGAACTGCCGTGACCTCGTTGACACGTCGCGTGTAACAGACAAACGAACACGCGTGCATCCATGACGTCACCATCTCATGGTGGTCGTCTAATCTTGAGTCCACATGGGATCTTTGCACCGATATGATTTTGATATATTTTGAACGGACGATTACTACATTACATCACTCGAGATGAGATTTGGAACTTGACTGATGAA